TATATAACCTTTTTATATAGTTAAAACACATGAAGCTTATAGTTTTATATTTTCTCTTATGAAGTAGATCTTTCGGTAGCCGTTTCTTTCAAACTGTAGCTCTGATTAGAGTGCATTCCACGTCTGTGTGTTCGTAGCGAGACGTAGATTCGTTTTACAAATTTTTCATCATAATTTTATGTTTGGTGTATTGTTCTAATTTAGATCTATTGTTTACTTTGTGTATGATTGCATAGATGTGTGGTGCTTTATGATCTTGTTCAGTCGGTGAGTTTTACGTGGTGAATTAAGAAGTAGATCTTTGAAGATTTGGACTCAAAGAAGGATCTAAGTTTAAGGCAAGTATAGCATGTGATCTTTTTTGTTGTCCTATACTCCTTTAATCATTTAATTCATATACATATGTCTACCTTGGCAACCGTAGTAATTTTTCTAGCTATTTGATATCCTGGATTCCTTGATTCCTTTGAGTTATTGCATTGGGTAGTATGATGCTAGTGCTCAACTAAAGACCATGATCTTATAACTTGACTAATGGTATATGCAATAAACATTAAAAGATGTTTTTTAGCAACATAGAAAAGGGGGCTAGAGCATTGGGCTATTTTTATGGTGCTCTAGATTCCTCTCCCTAAAGACTTATCTGTAAGTGATCATTCGGGACTTACAGTACAACTGTGAGGGCTATATGGCTCTGGCTTCAGCTCAATGTGAGAACTTTTTCTAGCTTGTTAGTTGTTATCTTCATTAGCGTAAGAATGGCTTGATGAATCGGGTATAGGACAGCCTCTACTCTTATGTGTATAGGCGTGATGGAATTGTGCCACTCGATAGGGGGTTCCTATATCTGTTTGCCGAGTGAATCTAATGGCCCTAACTTGTTAGACGAATCTTTGAAAGGCTTCATAGTGACCCCTGCCTGCTCACCTTAGAAGTGTTTTGGGAGTAATTAACCTAGGCATATGGGTATCATGACTCGGTGAAAGTGTACAACATCTGCATAGTGTAAAACTAGTATATTAGTCGTGCTCACGGTCACGAGCGGCCTTGGAACCCTTACGGAATAGATGATGAATTATGATGATACTGATGATAAAGATGCTCATTAATGATACTATTTATGCTATTTATTATTCATGTTTACCTGATCATGTGTTTATATGGGCTTGTGGATAAACTTGTTGACACCCAATTGTTAAAAGATGACTCATTAAAAGCTAATTGTAGTTAAACCAGTGTTAGCCTTTTGAACCTCATAAACCCTATTATATTTGTTGAGTATGGCATGTACTTACGCTTGCTTTACTTTTCAAATATTTGGATAAAAATCCCGGATGAGTACCAGATTGTTAGAGTTTGGAGGAAATATGCTTGTGATCAACCAGTCAGTTGTTCCTATGGAATTGGAGTCTTCACCCGAAGATCGGAGTTGTCTTTTTCGCTGTTTGTTGTTTAAGGTTATATCCTTTATACTAAGTACGTTATATATTGAACATTGTCTTTCGATATTACCCTTATTTGTAGTTATATGTGAGATTTGACTTTCTGGGCTCACATATGGTGTGTATCTGGTTTTGTTCTTAAAACTGGGTGCTACACAATCCTAAAGGCATATGGTATATGCTAGGGGTTTTTATTTCACCGGTCAAGACACGCTAGAGTGCATGGTCAGGTTTAAGATGAATAGTCATACTATTAAGGGGGGAACTCTAATGCAAAACAGTTATCTAGTGCCTAGATTTGAACTAACTTTGCATATGCACTGGACCTAGTGACAAAGTGAGATGCAAGGGAAGGATGTTTTTGAAAAGCTAACTCGGTGCCTAAGGTGAAAGTGTTTGTGTTGGAACACATTGGAGTTCAAATTTTGAATTGCTTTGCAAAAAATGTGAATCGGTATTATTTTTCGTCATCCATCAACAATGTCTGGTGCCCAGTGTGTGTGGGGGGTGAGGGGGCTCACTGGAGAATAGGGTGCCTTGTGCTGATTTAACTGTAGACTAGGATACTCACTAGAAATGTCTGGTGGTACCCATTGGAGAGCACTGAAGAATGCGTTAGAGTTAGCAGCGCGTGGGAGTTTTAAATGAGGACATTGAAAGTCTGGTGGATGATCACCGAAGATTTCTTGTGCCCCTTGGACCTCTTGGGTTGGCATACAACAAGGGTCTAGGTGTCACAGGATATGTCTAGTGACCCTCACTGAAGAGGCACCAGAGAATCAAGAGTAGAGCCGTTTGAATTCCTAACGGCTAGTTGTCTGTGGTCGAGCTGTTGGGCAGTCATCAGAAATGTCCTGTGGTAGCGCCGTAGTGACCACCAGAGAGAGTGCCTGTGGACAATTTTTTAGATCAAATTCTAGTCATTGGATCTACATAACATAAGTTTCGATGTGTGTTCTCTGGTGGTCACCAGAGATTTCTGATGACCTCAAAAACAACACACCACCAAGCTTACAACGGGTAGTTTTTGATGGACTTATAAATAGGGGGTGTGGTCAGCCCTTGGGCACTCTCTTGACCTTCCAAATGAACACAAAGATCCTTGAGCTCTTAAGAACGCCTCCCTATCACTCTCTTGCTCGATGGTTGATCCAAAGTGAGGTAAGGAGAGATCTAGTGCATTTGCTTAACTGATTTGCATCTAGTGGCACTAGTTGATCGACTTGACATGGATTTCTTCTTACTCTTGGTAGTTTTCGCCACCTAGACGGATTGGAGGAGCAAGGACTACGAGCACCGTGTCGTTGATTGTTCGGTGGCTCAGATCGGTTGGTTTGTGAGGGATTTTGTGCTCACCTCATGGGAGATTGAGAAGGGCAATTCTAGTGGAATGCTCGAGGCTAGTTGGAGTGTTTTTTGTTGATTTGATTCTTGCGACACCTAAGTTGTGGGTCAACCTTGAGAGCTTTGTTAGCGCGTACATTATTCACCTAGAGACTTGCCTCAATGAGGACGTAGGCTGCCGGTAAGCAACCAAACCTCAGGGATAAATCTTGTCTCCCCCTTGCCTTTGGTGATTTGCAAATTCTACAGTTGTGCTCTTATTTCACATGCATAGCTTGAGTTGTCGTTGTTTGCTTTGTGTTGCTCTCTAGTGCGGTAGTAGCTAGCTCTAATCGGTAGGGTAGCTAGTTTTAGTTGCTCTTCTTGTTTAGCTCACCAGGAGTAGCTTGTTCAGTTGATAGCCTCTTTGCGTGATTATGTGTGCTTTAGTGGTAGATCACCTCGCTACTAGATTCGTTGCAAAATGCATCGATAAAACCAGACTTTTCTGACCTGGCCAATCCACCAACCAGGCCAGTAGCTATACCAGCATCCAATCACGTCCTAAATAGAGCCAAGACGTTTTGGGTCTGCTTGGTTCATATTTTTAGGGCGGTAAGGCGAGACATGGCGAGCCACTCATTTGAGTCGACTAGGCGACGCCTAGGCAACCATAAGATAAGGCAAGACAACGCCTTACCATTCTAAGAAATAGGAAAATACCAGCACGGAATAGGCAAGAAAAAGAGGAAAAAGGAAAAACAAAAACTAGAAAAGGGCAAATGTAAAGAGAAGTGCTTGGCCCAGCCCAATAGGCAGCCCACGAGAGCGTCCTTATCCCTTCTTAGGTCATATCTCATCTCACTTCTCATGGACGCAGATGCAGCGCCGCCACACGCATCCTCCTTCACGCAGGTGCAACACTGTTGCGTCTCCCTGCTTGACGCATGCAAATGCAGCACCGCCGCATCTCCCTCTCCTTCATGCAAGCGCAGCCCACCGCATCTCCTCTCTTATGGCTCAAGCAGGTACAGCGCCGCTGTCCCTCCCTCGCGCTGCTCTTGGTAGCGTGCGCTCGGCCTGCCCTCCGTTCCTTCCACACCTCTTACTACTGCTCTCTCAGATCCCCATCTCGATCAATCGCCGCCTCTGCCGCAGATGACCCAGGCAGTGCCGGATTTGGTGGGGATGAGCGAGGAGGTAGCTGCATGGCCTCTCCCTATCCTTTTTCCTATGCTTTTGGCTAGGCATCAGGGACATCTTACTCCCTGCGAGCACCTTGTCGTCTAGGCGACGCCTTAAAAACCTTGGCATGGTTTCCAAGCCAAAGAGATTTGCCTTGTCTTATCTATCTGGCACCAGCAGCAAGAAGGCTGTCGAAGCTAGGAGAACCGTTTTGGCTCCCTCACGAAAGCAAGGTAAAAGCTTACTTACACAGATTTTAAGAAAATCTTGTTTGGTATCAAAAGAACTTAGATCTATAATTTTGCTTGGCAAGGCTACACAGTAATGAACAAGAAAACCAAACAGCCCCTTTAACTTTAACCGGTAGTTCATACGATCCATGTTGGCATGATTTTCTTCGTTGTGGAATGTACTTATGTCCCGTTCGTTTAGGTTGGTTTGGCTTATAAGCCATGTTTGAAAGTACTGTTGACTGATTTAGTGTGAGAGAAAAATACTGTTCGTTGGCTGATAAGCCAGATATGAGCAAACGAACATGCTATTAGATAGTTTTGCTTTTTGTGGGTGCATGCAGAAAGCTGAAGGGTGAAGGAAGAAGCGTACGTATATTACGCCTACGTGGCTAACCTATTACTAGTAGACTGTACACTCCTATACGGCGAAAATGTGAATGTGAATGGAATAGGAGTATACCGCCGGCGCCCCTGGGGATGGAAACGCAAACCACGGCGCGGCGCACGCAGGATTCGCCTTCGCGCTCTTTCCTCCTTTCCCAGTTTCCCTCCACTCGCCGTCTCCCCCCAACCGCTTCAAAATTTGAAAACCGATGCTCATGTCACCGCACGGGACGGCTAGGATTTCGCCGCGGCGCCTCGGCCGCCGTGTCCGCGCCCAAACCGCCCGCCTCGCCCCCGCTCCAGGGCCGGACGGAGGAAAGAAATAAAAAGGACGGAGAAGGACGTCCTCCACGTTTCTCCATCGCCAATCGCCGGCCGACTCTCCCTTTCCTCTCCAGTTCTCCAGTCGTTTCTTTCCCCACGCGCGCTGGCCATGGCCATCTCGGAGGACCCAGAGGGAGCCGCGGGCGATGGTGGCGGGGTGACGAAGCGGGGGAGCAAAGCGCGGGGGAAAGGCGGCGCTAAGGGGCGCGGGAGGCCCAAGCGGCAGAGCGAAGACAGGTCCTTCGTGGCGCCGGTGATGGATGGGGTGGCGGTCGGGGACCGGGTGCTCAGGGAGAGGAGGCACGCGCCCAACGTCTTCTGCGAGCGCGACACGGATGACGACGATGAGGTGCTGGGATAACTCTCTCTACTTTTTTTTTTTTGGTTTTCTTGTGGGATTTGCAACGTGCTTTTCGCGCTCTCTCTTTGTGTGTTTCCAGTTTCCCCATTTTTCTCTAAAAAAAGTTTCCCATTTTTTCCTGGAGCAGGAAAATGAGAAAAAATAGCCTTCCTATCATTTGATACGATTTACTGTTTCCTGGATGAACGATTTAGCGCATTAAATAAATACAGATAAAGAAAACTGCCTTTTCTTTAAACGAAAGAAATTCCCTTTACTTAGGGATTGAAAAAAAACCAGTATTGTTCGGTCACTCGAGGGACTTTTCTGATGATTCTTTGCTCTACTATGATTTATAGTAAAGGAAAGGAAAGGCTTCTAACTTTGACATACTGTCTGTTCCCTCCTCCCCCTCCACATAGTAGCAGAAATTTCTCTTATTCCTTTTTTTTTACTGCGTATGTATGTCTTGTGTCTCGTTCTCTGAAATACATTTACTTGCCATTGTATTGGATATTGGTTAATTCTTGTCGGGTGTGTTCTCTTAATGTAGTGGGCTAATTTCTTGGCTGGTGTAATGTCAGGAGACTGCAACCAACCAATCCAAGCGTCAGAGAAAGAAGAGAAATGATGCTGGCAAGAAGAGGGGGCCTAGGAAAACCAAACCAGAACATGCGGACAGCAAGGCTCACTTCCCCAACAGCAAATGCCACGGTGACAGGAAGGGGGTATGTTACTTTCAATCTTCTGCAACAGTTGATCACTATAGTTTTGTACCCATGTTAGCATGTTGCCAATTTTACCATGTACTATCTGACAGTTCTTGACAACAAGAATCTTTAGTTCTTTACAAATTTTCTAAATGTTGTCTGAAACATACAAAACCCCGTCACAAGTTCCAGGTTCTATTAGGAATAGTGCAGTGATTATCCAGTTGTGTGATTACTATACTTCCTCTCTTGTATGTTCCCTTTGTGTTTCTGTCATTTATTATATTAAAAAATAAAATAAAGAACATCTTTTTCCTAGCGGCTAGTAGTTCTGTGGTACCTTTCTGTAACACCTTAGTTTTGGTGTTTTTGAGTTTATATTTCAATTTTCTTTGAATGTTGTAGCGTTTTGTTTCTTGGGCCATAGGATGCTAAAGGAAATTCCCTTGTAATTCAGTTGCCACATTTGCTGTAACACCTCAATTTTAATGCTTCTGGTGTATTGAAAGAATGCTGTAGGCTTTAAGTCCATTTACTTGCAGGATGGTGTTGAGACAATTAGGGGCAAGGACTCATGGAAGGGTGAGGTTTTACAGACTGCAAAGAAGAGGAAGAAAGGAGATGCAGGGACGGTTTCTGTTACAAAAAGGTTGAAAAGAGAGGATGAAGAACAAAGGAAGGCCTTATTCTCCAAGCATAAAGGTTGTGATGAAACTGATAGGGTAAGCAACTCATGAGCTGTTTATGGAATGCTTTTCTGTGAGTATTTGATGAATGTAAGTGTTGTTTCAATTGTCCTAGAAACGGAAGAAGATGTTGACTGGGGATAATGCCCTGATGTGCCACCAGTGCCAGAGGAATGATAAAGGGAGGGTGGTCTGGTGTAATTCATGCAGCAATAAGCGCTTCTGTGTGCCATGCATTGAAAGATGGTGTGTCAATTGCTCACGATCTTTGTGTCTACTAACATGATTGCACATCATAACTTTCTTTGTAATATGACATTTACATACATATATAAATTATATACACATGGTTTATTTTGTAATTGTATTATATACGCATCTGCTATTTTTTGTTTTATTTTGTGCAACTGCTTTTGTCTACTGTGCTTTAAAAATTATGTCTTTTCCTTCTAGTATTCATTTCATGTGGCTATGTTATTTGATCTAGTGTATTGTGAAATGCTAATTTGTCTTAAACTACTAAACAGGTATCCTAATTTGTCAGAAGATGAATTTGCTGCAAAATGCCCATATTGTCGCAAGAACTGTAATTGCAAGGGATGCCTACGAATGCGAGGGGTTGAAGAGGTTCATGCCTAGCATTCCATCTCTTTTCTCTTTCTTCTCAGTTCTGCTTACTAAATATTTTTCTTCAATTTTTCCCTTTCTAGTCTTAATTAATGACTTACCATTTCTCATGAAGCAGCCTCCAAAGAAGGAAATTTCTGAAGAAAATCAAATCTCTTATGCTTGTGATGTTGTGCGCTTGTTGCTTCCCTGGTTGAGAAAACTGCGACAGGAGCAGATAGAGGAGAAGAAATTGGAGGCTAAAATAAAAGGTAGTGTGTTCTGGACTTCTATTGTTGTGTGCCACAAGTTGGTAAGTGAGATTGCTGTTCATGCTAATTTGTTTCTACTGCAGGTGTTTTGGTTAATGATATGAAGTTGGAACAAGCTGAATGTAATCTAGATGAACGTGTCTACTGGTTCGTTCTTTCCTTATTTCCTTTCTGCCACAATCTTACAGCAGCAAGCATCTGATCTCTTTTCTTGTTCTTCCAATGTAGCAATAATTGTAAAACTTCTATAGTTGATTTTCATAGAAGCTGCAAGTATTGCTTTTATGATCTGTGCCTTGAATGCTGCGGGGAGATCCGCAAAGGTGAGATTCCTGGAGGAGAAGAGATAACGAAAGTAAAGCCTGAAAATAGAGGCCGGGATTATCTTTTTGGTACTACTAAGTCAAAGGATGGGAGTAAAGGGTTCTCCTTGAGGAGGTGCAGCTCAGAAAATGAGCCTTCCAATGGAATAGGTTCTAGTGAGGGGGCAAGTAACTCTCTGGCGCTGTGGAAAGCAGAAAGTGATGGTAGCATACCTTGCCCACCAAAGGAGCTAGGAGGCTGTGGTGGTTCGATGTTGGACCTCAAGTGCTTTTTTCCAGAAAAGATGCTTTCCAATTTAGAAGAACGAGCTGACAGAATTATGAGGAGTGAAGTATTTGCAAACGCAGTAGCCAACAGAAGTGATCGGTGCCCTTGTTATGACCATTCAGGGAACATAACACCTCAGGATGTGCGAGCGGCTGCAAATAGGAAAGGCTCAAGTGATAACCACCTGTACTCCCCAGTTGCCACTGCTATCAAGGAGGATGACTTGGTGCACTTTCAGATGCATTGGTCAAAGGGTGAACCAGTTATTGTTTCTGACGTTCTACATTTGACTTCTGGTCTCAGTTGGGAGCCATTAGTTATGTGGCGGGCGTTGCGAGAGAAAAAGACTAATGGTGACGTAGAAGATGAGCACTTTGCTGTCAGGGCAGTAGATTGCCTCGATTGGTGTGAGGTCAGTTCTATTTCATTGAATGTTTTAGTGCATTGGGTGATCTTTTTTTGTATATATTTAAGTGTTTTCATTTGTATTCCCCTTAGATGTGCCGTTACTTTTCCTTTTGTAGACTTTCCTAGGTGCATTTAAGAGGGCTAGGTTCACTTCCTTGACTTGTTCATGTTTGTGCTCTGCTGAATGTCTGTTCATGGTCATTCAACTCTGCTAGAAGATTTCTTTATTACTATGACAAGAAACAAGACATGCTCTACAAGTAAAAAAGTACAATGTTGAAATATCATTGAATTTGAATTCTATTTCAATTTTTATGGAATTGTGTTATCTGTTTGCATGCAGATAGACTGCTCACAGCTCTGTTGTTAACAGCTAATTCAAAAATATTAAGCACTGGCATGCACAATTTTGTGTTGCAGGTGGAAATTAATATACACATGTTTTTTGTGGGATATATGAAAGGCAGAACGCACACCGTGGCACACTGGCCTGAGATGCTTAAGCTAAAGGACTGGCCACCATCTAGTTCATTTGATCAGAGATTGCCTCGCCATGGTGCTGAGTTTATCAGTGCATTGCCATTTCCTGAGTACACTGATCCTCGATATGGTCCGCTAAATCTTGCAGTCAAGCTTCCTGATGGTGCATTGAAGCCAGATCTTGGACCAAAAACTTACATTGCTTATGGATTTTACCAGGAGTTGGGCAGGGGTGATTCTGTGACCAAGCTTCACTGTGACATGTCTGATGCGGTATGTGCTGTTAATGGTGATCCCTTTCTTTGCTCATTTTATAACATCTGTGGTCGTGTTTTATATAAAATTGACTTGCAAATGCTATATCTTATTCTGGGCAACCTGCGTCTCACTTTCTTTATGTTGCTTTCTCTGACCTGACCTTTTTCAAGCCGTGCTGTATCCTCAGTTGGTATCAACTGGTGTTACTTTCTATCTTGTTTGTCTTGCTTGGGGACTAGTTTATCATGGAAGTCATTAATTGTGGCAAGTCTGTTTTGTTCAGGTAAATATATTGACACACACAGCACAAGTGCCCTACGAGTGTTATCAACCTGAGAAGATAGAGAAAACCAGAAAGAAAATGAAAGAGCAAGATCTTCAGGAACTTTATGGTGTTTCAGAATCCAGGAATATAACTGTTGATGAAATGCCAAAGACCTCATGTAATGATGGTACCTGTAAAGAAATTTCTGATAGTGAGTTAGTTGTTTACTTTTAGTTATGAAAAGGGTCTTTCAGTTGATTATAACTTACTCAACATTCTTGTTTTCATTGTGCAGGTTTGGACATCAATGTTGTACCACCTGTTAATACTAAATCTAAGGTACAAGGTGAGGCAGGCCAGTGTTCAGACTACATTGACAAGGATAAAAGTTATGCTGGGATGCATAACGGGGAGAGAACTGGTGGTGCTTTATGGGATATTTTCCGAAGAGAAGATTCTGACAAGCTACAAGATTATCTTAGGAAACGTGCCATGGAATTCCGGCACATCCATTGCGATCCTGTGAAGCAGGTATTGTTTTCCTTGCAATTATTTCCTCTGTTTTACCTATGCTGACTAATATTCAAGCAAATGATGCAGGTTATTCACCCAATTCATGATCAGACTTTCTACTTAACTGAGGAGCATAAGAGAAAGCTCAAGGAAGAATACGGTTAGTTAACTATTCAGACCTTAGAAATGCAGTGCCCCGTGCTATTGTGCCCTATCTCCAATGCGATGGCATGTCTGCTATAGGTGTTGAACCGTGGACTTTTGAGCAGAAGCTTGGTGAAGCAGTTTTTATTCCTGCTGGGTGTCCTCACCAAGTGAGGAATTTGAAGGTGTGGCTTAACTCAACAGACCTTAATTTGTGCTCCTTTTTATTTTACTTTAGCAACAAATGTATTTTGTTGGTTAAACTGAAGCTGTTTCTGTTTTTATGCAGTCTTGCATCAAGGTTGCAATGGACTTTGTTTCCCCAGAAAATGTTGATGAGTGCATAAAACTGACTGGAGAGTTTAGGCGACTTCCACCTGATCACAGGGCTAAAGAGGATAAACTGGAGGTGGGCATGCTATATTTTCAGTTATCCGGTTTCTGTTTATGATGTTGTGCTATCTGATATGACACGGCTGACCTGGAGTTCAATCTGGTGCCTTCAGATTAAGAAGATTGCTCTTCATGCTCTAAACCAAGTAATAAATTTCTTGGATCCTTCCTCTGAGGGGTAAGCAGCAGCTTGCAGTAGCCTAGTGTTGAAATTTTGCTATAGAAGATCTGAAGTTGCAATCGAGACACAGAAATTTTGAGGCATTCTGATCACTCTTGTCATGTGATTGATCCATCAGGTTGAAGAGTGGGGCTGCCCAACCCAAGAATAAAAAAGAAGCTGAAGCTGAAGAACAGAAGATGCCTAAAAGGGGTCGCCAATGTCGCAAGTCCAATGATGAAGCTACTGAAGATAAGCCCAAAAAGAAGGCTGGTCGTCAAAGAGGTGAGAAGAGCGGAGACGGCAAGTCCAAAGATGACGCTGTTGATGAGAAGCCTCCTAAAAGGCAGAACAATCGCCTGAAAGGCTCTGGCAAGCCTAGGTGATTGATCGGTTCACTGCTGACTGGGAAGGTAGAAGGCATAGTGGCTGTACTGACCCAACTTGGACGTAGTTATTTTGGAAGCAGGTTGTAGTCTAGAAGACTCTAGAATAGACCAGGCATTTTGTCACCCCTAGACGCCATTGTGGGCTGTGGCGTCCGGCTTTTGTTCATGTGGTGATTGCCGGCTGGCACCATTCTGGAAGAACCATGCTAGGTGCTCGCTGCACAAGACTCTTCATGTAGCGGGCTATGGTGATTGGCTGTTCAGCATGTCTGTTGCTGATATGGTGATTGGCTGTTCAGTATGAACTCTCTGGATTCTGGTTTTATATATCCAATCCATTGTCTGAGGCTATATATGTCGTTCTGGCTATCAATGAGATGCACCATTTATTGCCTGCACCTGGACGGGAGGTTGTCTGGATGCTTCATCAGCTGTATGAACCTAGACACTCAGAACCGGTGCCAGGACGACATTAATTACGGGACGGAGGGAGCATGTGGCAGTCCAAAGCATGTCGTCAACCAGATCCATTGCACCCGGCGGCCTGGTTAGCCTGACAAGTGAGCCAAGAAAATGTGTAGTGTAAGCTTGTGATGAAACAATGCAGACGTTGAAGAGTGGTCCTGAGCATGCTATTGTTGATGTGCGCCTTGAACACGTCCATGTGCGCCGGGTCGAGCGCTAGCCGATACCGAGACCTGCACGGCGCTGTCGCGCTTGGACCACAGTTGCAATGCGATGGAGCTAGCACTTAGCACGGGCAGGTTTGGGGCGGCCTGCTTGTTGAGCAGCTCCCTCGCGGCGAGAGGTCGTCGCCGCGGGGATGGGTGCGCCAGCGTGCGGACGAGGAGGGACGTGGAGCCACAGCGGGAAGCGGACGTCCACGTGTGGATGAACATCCTCATGGTGCAGGCGGCGTGGTGAACGGACAGGCCGAGCGCCAGGCTTGTGGCGCCGAGCCGAGTGGTCTGCACGGCCATCACGGGCGCCGGGAGCACCGCCCGGGCGTCGTGCGCCTCGTCGCCGGCGACCCGCTGCACGTCCACGCCGGGGGCCTCGTCCTCCACACGAATAGCACCCCGGTGGTGTCACCGGAGCAGTCCACGTCTCCACGACGACGTCCCCGGTGCCTGCCACGTAGGCCAGACTCCCGGCGAGGAGCACGTTGTCTGCCGCTGCCGGTGGCCAGCTCGTACAAGTACACGCGCTGGACCGGTGCCGACCCATGGTGGGTCGAGGAAGGCGAGCTTCGCCTGGGCTCACGGCCCATTCATCGGTTGGTCATGGTGAATGTGAGCTGCCAGGGTCACCGGTGCCCGTGCGGACGCCCAGCCAAATCATGACGCGTGGCATTTTTAATCAGCCGGCTCTGCCAGCGTTGGCTGCCACGATAGGAATCTCACGCCACACATTTTTCGTCACAAAAGCTGCTGCTGCTGCTTCTGCATTTCTCATCTCTTTCCAAGCTTTGAATGGACTGCAACGGACAAGTCAGAGAGAGGAAAAGAAACAAAACCAAACTGTGACCGGGACGAAGGCTACGTCTCTCCTTGCCGTTCCTGCTGCTGCTTCGTAGCTGCATTTTTTTTGAGAAACTCTTCGTAGCCGCATTTGGATGAATGGGCTGTGATTGGCACAGGGAGCTCCACCAGCTCACATACACACCAGGGTCGGCACATCAATTTTAAGGTCCCTTGGGCAACAAAAAAAATGGCAAGGACCCATTAAACTATTTTTCTAACAATATATAGTACTACTAATATGACTTAGTCCCTATTCGCTTCTCTTATAATCCGTACTTTTTAGCTTATTTTTTTAGCCGGAATAGTGTTTTTCGGCTTGTTTTTTCAGCGAAGCGAACGGAGCCTTAACTTGCAACATATGTTTAATTTATAAAAGATAAAGCTTGTACAACAAAGAAATAAAAAACAATGAAATAACCATTACGATTACCTCAATAATGCTTTAATGCTTTGTTAAAAACTATCGTTGGGCGCTTCTTGATGCAAAATCTTCAAGAACCGTTCAAGATCAACGTTGTCCAAAACATCCTTCTCAATGATGCACATAGCCAGTCCACTCAATCTTTCTTCTAACATAGTTGACCTCAGACGATCTTTCAATAGTTTCAATTTGGAGAGCTTATAAGGGAGAACAAGAAGGCATTCTTAATCGGCTGATGATAGACTATCTTCTTGTTGAACTATTGAGTTTACGGGCCTTTAGATTCTTATTTTAATAGAACAAATACATATACTAGGCACTATATATATATGAGAAAATTATCCGTGTGGCCCTGAAAATGCTGTGTCTTACTTTCTTGGCCTTTTTTTTTTCTAAACTTAACTATAAGGCCAGAAAACGATTTTCGAATTTTTTGTTTTTCGGCCCTTTTTTCGAAAGATTTTCACAAATATGCCACTGGCGGTATCCTTTCAAAAAATAGACCCTCACCTCGGCGCCGTTGTTATTGGCGCCGAGCTTACATGTTTGGGCACCAGCAAATTTGGCGCCAAGGTCTTGGGCTGACAAAGGCGTCGACGTAGACGTGGCGGTGACATGACAGCCACCTCGGCGCCAAGATCTATGGCGTCGAGGTGGTGTTTTAAACCAATGCCCAATCTTCCTGGCCGAGGCTTCTTCCTTTTCTTCCTCCTCCCTCTCGAGTTTTTGCTCTCCCCACTTCGCCCTACCTCACGAATCGGCATATTGGACATTAGAAACTTGGATTTGATCCGTACATCTTCGAGAGCAAGGTATCCTCGTCCCCCTCCTAGTTTTTTTTCGCATCGATTCGGTATATATTAGTCGTATTTTTCAACCTAAGAGTCGTCATTACTTAGAGTTTCATACAATTTTTAATATTTGTATTATACAACCGTAGGATGCCAAGGCGTGGAAAAATTAGCAAATCAAGATAACCTCAGCGCATCTTTTTATATTATGGGTTCATTGTTGTGCATCAAATGGGAAACCCTAGGTTTAGTGTTTAATGTTAATTGCTTTCAGTTCTTAGAATGAAATTCGCTGAATTGCAGTTATGGCCGGATAACCGGAAATGCCTTCGACCCATTGCCTCTGCCTAGTAGTGTTCCAGTGCCCATGTGCTTTTACGGTGATCCTTGCAAGGTAGCCAAGTCCGATGAAGAGGACACGTATAGGCAGAGGTATTGGATGTGTTCCAATTTTGCGTTTGAGCCTATACTTCGTCAACGCCGCATAAACAAGATGGTGAGGAATTGATGTCGTGTAATAATTATTTTGTGTCATATGAAATCTTGCATTATTTATTTGTTTTGTAACAATTGCATTTGTTGCAGACCCCTCCACCGCTCTGTAATTTTGAGCAGTGGATCAACACTGAGATCAAGCCTGAAGACAAGGAATGGATGCATAAACTGTTGCGGTGGGAGGCAGAGGACGAGGAGATGATGCAGAAGAGACGCAGAGAGGAGGCTACAAAAAAGGAGCACAAGGAAGAGGAGGAAAGGAGGCGTGTTGCTGCGTACAGGGAGGAGAGAGAGAAGAAGCTTGAGCGTGCGCGCCGAGCGAAAGCAGCGATGGAGGAGAATTCCGATGCCCCGAGGAAGGGAAAGTGGCCTCATTGCACTCAGTAGTCTCCATGACTTGCTAGTTCTATGGTTTATTCATGAACAATGTTGTCTAGTCTTGGACTTTTCATTGTTTTGTCATGTAATGCACTTTAAGTATGAGCGTACTTAGGTCATGTACTACGTTATTTAGTTTGTCGGCATGTACTTCTAGTATTATTGTGTTTTTTAATGTGCCCTAGTATTGGACTTTTCATTGTGTTGTTGTTTTTATTATTTGTGGTCATAATATTCAGTTTAATATTGCAGACGTAGTGAAATGAGTTCACGTACTACAAATAAAACCTAACGAAGTAGTGCATTATATAATTCAACACGAACAACACATGAAATGGCATGTGAGAGCATGTACCAAACTAGGATACAGAGGTCCTAGACTAAACCTAACATGCCTTAGGCAATTGAATCGAACAACAAGCACACGAAATGGAATGCGAGAACATGTACCAAATAAGGGTACATAGTTCCTTCGACTAAACCTAACATGTCTTAGGTAATTAAACCAAACAACAAACATATGGATGTGGCATGTGAATAAGATAGGTTCGTGCTAGTAGTGTGGCCACATAGCAAATTGTGTTGCACCTTCTCTACAGTAGCCTCCCATTGTTATTGGTGGTGGTGGCGGGGGTGGCGACAGAGGCCCTTTGTTCTTGTGATTAGGGCAGGTGCAATATGGATCATTACAGAGTGCCTCCTATGAACCTGCACCATTGTTGTTGTCGTCGTCTTCGGCTTCCTTGTAACCGCTACTAACTTCTCTTTCTAGATCGAAGATACGGTCCAACAGGTAGTAGATGTACTGCTGATGCAGATAAATTGGTCGAGGATCGACCCACCTAGTAAACCCACAGTTTTCTTTGAACTCGGAATACTGCAATAAGTATGTCCTATGAGTTATAAAGGTATTCGAGAAACATATTTAACAAACGAATAGTAATAGCAATTACCCATGCTTGCGGGCATTTGAAGAAGTGACGACCTCTGTCGATCCCCTCGGTGAACATCTGCACTAAGCAGTCCTCACCATGCATGCATTTTGGCCAATCTTCCTTTCGGTTATCGTATCCACTGAGAGGGCACTCTTTAGTGAAATCACTCTTGCTCTCGAGGGGAAACTGATATACTGGTTCCTCAAAGAAATCAGAACAAAGAGACCCCTCCCACACAATGGAAGTTCCCTTCGTGCCCCATTTCCTCTCCCACTCCCAAAACCCTTGCCTCTAGACGACCCTCCAGACATTCCTACTCCAACGAAACCGAATAGTGGTTTGGTTTTGGTTTTTGTTAGCAATGCATCCTGGAACGCATATATATAGGCAGAGGCAGGTTTACTAACCGTTGCATTGTGTTGTAAATGCTCTTGGAAAGCCTACTTAGAATAAC